ACTAAATAAAATCTTCAGCAGAGTTTAAGGGATGTCAGTGTCAGACTCTCACCGATGACTCACACCTGACCCATCATAAGACCCTCACTTGACACACCCACTTCTGACCTATCACAAGACCTACTGACCACACAAAGCCCTTATAAACAGAGGAATACTGACATTCTATAAGCTCCACTAAAGATGTTACCTAGCCTGGTAACAAAACGTTCGGAAACCAACCCACAAGCTCATTCTGTAGATTTCCTAGGCATTCTATAAAATGCCTATTTCACACATTGATAGTAACATATATGACCTCCGAAGGGTATAATTTCCCTTAAATGTTTGGACAGAATTTTCTACATCCCAGTCTGAGTAATGAATGCTGCACTTGGCCCATTTTTTGTTTTACATCGATTTGTAAAACAAAAGGTAAATTAAATCAGGAAACCAAGGTCTCTAACACAATGTACTTTTCAAATACTTAAATGCCTTTTAATATTCCTCTGTCCACTGAACTATTCAGATTAATTATTACATTTGTAAGCGTGTGATTCCTACATTGCAGCACAGTGCCTTGAAGCATTGTACAAACCACAGGGGCAGCTATGAGATATTTTAAATGTTTATGGCCTTAAGGCAGGGTTTGGCAATGTCATATTTTTGTGAAGCTGGGTTTTCAGTGATTGCTGTGATAAAAATCAGTGTTGAACAGGAAATGAGGGTGGTGATGTTCAGTGCAATTCCAGGTTTGAGAATGAGAAACAACAAGTATATCCATTACTAAGTAATTGCAGTTATTTAAGAATGAAATTTTCAATGTATGTGTGCTATTTTTTGAAACAGTTGTTAGATTATAAATACTTATACTTTTGACCTGTTTAACAAACAAAAAAACGGTTACTATTTCATTTGGCCTAAGGGAACCATGAAAGAATTACTGTAATACTAAGAGCATGGTGAACTGAGAAAGTTTGGGAACCCTATATAAGGATTTGCACCCTAAGGTAGACAGTTATCTATAATAACTCCAAATTAAAGTTAAGAAGGTTTTCACTTCTTCATTTCAGGAAATCTAGCCAGATGAATTGCCTCTGTTTTAGAGTAATGAATCTGGTCTAACCAGGGTATCCATTCTAAATCCCAGGTATTTTGTTTCTTGGAAACCAAGGACAGACCTAGAGGGTTAAGAATTAGATAAGCTTTGTGGAGACTTCCCACCACATGCTTTACATGTTCCAGATGCTTCTCTTAGCTGCAAGTACAAATAATCAAATCATCTACATACTTTCCATGCTGCTATCTTAGACTAGGCAATATCTGATAGATGAGCCTCAGATCCGTTTCAGAAGACTGATGGAGTAAAAAAAAAATCTATGTGAAAAAAGTCTTATAGGGTAGAAAAGGCAGTCCGAATGTTTTTTTCAAGAGGAGTCTTCTAGTATTACTTCATGAAGTTTAAGATGAATGGATGAAACTGCACACAGGGGTGGGTGGGGAAGAGAGATGGAACCAGTCAATCAAATCCTCTGTCTTTGGACAATGATTAACTATTAAACTAGCAGTGTTGTTTATTTCTTTGCCTTGTGAGGTTTGGAGCCAGTGCAGTGGGTGTTTTGTTTACTGTTTGCTATTGGAAAATTCTCTTATTCAAATTTCAACATTTTCATAGTTTAAATTTCATTATGTGTAAAAGCCCCTCTAGAGTAAAGAATTAGACAGTGAACATATTATTTAAAAAATATGGGAATGAAGGAGATGAAAGCTGGAATCAATATTGGAGGTTGAAAGCATAAGAATTTGAGATATGCTCAAATATGATATCTTATTAGCCTAAAAGAAAGAAGGCTTCGCTTATTGCTAAAGTAAAACCTAAGTTTAAAATATCCAGGTAAATGTTCAATATGAAGAGGAAATGTCAATCTTAGATTCCATTCAGAAAGATAAGAATTCTTTAAATAATAATCTTCCAGATGGTTGTGAAAGCTGAACAGTGAGAAAGAAGAGACATATCTTCTAATTATGAATTAGGAGATGGTTATTAAACATTAGAGATTGCAGAAGAATGACTCAGTCAGCCTAGACCAAATAGGGTGATTCTTCCCTTTACCAAGCGGAAAAAAACATACGTAGGCAGTGATGAGAGCAAAATATGATGGCCTGGCAATGTTGAGACTAGCAGTAGGAGAGGAAGACAAAATAATTTTCTAGGAAAGCACTAAAGGAAGCAACCGACTCAATGGCCTTTAATGCTAACTAATTTTTATCTGCTAAAAATCGAACCAGTTGTTGAGATCAAAGTCACGTACAGGAAATAGTAACTGCAAATATTTGCTAAAGTGGGATGATTTTTAAAGAGTAGACAATGTTTTGGAGGACATAGTGAATTTTAAAAAGTGGTTGTTTAATTACCATTCAAAGTTACCACAATCTTGGAAAGGTGGTTTGTGGCCCGTAAAACACTTCCAGCCATTGTAGAACGTTGTGCCAGTCCCTCCCACAATCACCAGGTACCTTCAAGTATTTGGCAACCAGCTCACATTTACAGCCAACTACCCCACAATCATATGGTTGCCATTTGCAAACTTTCTAGCATCTTCCCCAGAAGGTCAGTGAGGAAGTTGGATAGGAAATGTTGCAAGTAGAAGAGATAGAGGGAAGCTGAAATCCTTTTGTGAGCTGAAGAAAAAGAGCTGAAATTCTGAAAATTTGTAAACTGCCAAAGGATTTCCCCTCCATGTGCCAAGGGGAGCTGAAATCCTTCAGCGGATTTCAAGAACATTTGTACTTTATATCAGTTTTTATTACTTACTGCTTAAACACCTTATTAATAAGCTTTTGTGGAATTAAAATTAAGTGTTTTCAACATATAAATGATGAAGTAGTCCTCACCTTATGACCACTTGTTTAGTGACCATTCAAAATTATGATGGCCCTTTTATAGACAATTAAGGGTAATGTAATCCAAGATATGGAAAAATGCAGAGGGAACATGAAATACACCTACAATGGGAAACTATTGAGATTTAAAGACAGAATCACAAATTGGGGGCATGTAAGGATGTATAATTATATAAAGATAATGATGAGAATAGCTGAGAATTGTAACCAGGTCTACATCTTGGCCAAAATTAGGCTGGGGGAGGTGGGGTTTAAAAGCACAATGACTATATATGTATACTTTTGTTCTATTTTTTTAAAAAAAGGAGGCGAATACATGTTAACATTAAATATGTATATTGAAAAGGAATTATAAATGCCATCAACATAACGTGGAGCTCGCTCAGAAGCTGAAATACACCAAGTAAATGAGATGAAGAGTGGGAAGTAGAGGAGAGAGGTAAGGGAAGAAGAGAGGTATAGGAGAGAGGGCAAGGGTGGGAAGAGGAAGAGAGAAATGAGGAGTGGAAAAGGAAGAGATGACAGAGGGAAGAAAGGAGGTAGGAAGGGGGAGAAGCAGGAGATCTGTGCACTGCTGAGCCTAGCTGGTCGAGGCTTTCTGGCCCTCTCAGTTGCAGTGTTCCCACAGTCATAAAGGCAGGCATGCTGCTAAGTGCCCAAATTTCAGTCATATGAACACAAGCATTCTGCAATGGTTGGAACTTCAGGCACCAGCAAGTCCCTGCGTTCAGGGCCATCATAATTTTTTTATAAAGTTTTTTATTTTTTCATAACATATAATCACATGTATACTATTACATAGCCAACATCATATTGTATTTTTAAATGTTTACATCAATTCATCTTACCATCAACTCTCAAAGACAATTATTGGCTCTTCTATTCTCCATACACCATATTTGTACCTTATCCATCACTTTCTTCTCCCTCTCTTCTCCACTCTCAAGAAGCCTACCCTCCCCCCCCATAAGATAGAAATCTTGGATTGCACTTAGAAAATTAGTGTATTGACAAAATGTCCATCTGTCAATTGCAAAAAGCCATTTGGATTTGCAATTGACAGGTGAAAATTGATTTCCTTGGTTATCCGACTATGGCATACTAGGTTCTTAGGAAGAACCCAGCGAGTATGAAGGCAAACACTAGCTAAAGAACTGGCAATTGTTGTGGAGATAAAAAGAAAAGAAAGAATGAGAAAATCACAAAATATAAAGATCTGCAAATAGAAAGACAACTGTAGCAAAGAAAGCAAATACAGTACCAATAGTAATAGGTTCCTTGGGTTCAATCCCAAAATATCTGAAGCACCATTTGAATACTGTTGGCATTGGCAAAAATCGCCATCAATCAATGTAAGAGACAGCTTTATTGGAATAGCTTACATTCTGCGATAATACCTTTAATATTAGTAAACATCTGCATATCCCAGCTCTTTGGGAGGAATTTGCTATGTGGATAAAAACGCCAAATCCAGTCTAAATAATCTGGCTGACTATGTGACCAACCATAATAATGCAAGCTAATCTAATTTTATGAGGAAAAACTCTGATGACATAATAACAGAGTTTAGAGGGGAAAAACCAGATTGGTGTTTTGTTTGCAAGCAAATGAATTTTTTTTTACATTCAAATTTTAGGACAAAGCTTTTTTTCTTTACACATTTAAAGAAAGAACTGAGGGTTTTTTCCATGCCCATGACACTATTCTAGCATGTTAGTACTTTAAAAGTTTACAGTTGTGGAGGTGTTGATCTCAATTTTTTTTTCCTACATTCAATTGTGTATGATTCTCAGAAACTGTCTGGACAAGATCCTGCAGTTTTCTTGGTAAGTTTTTTGCAGAAGTGATTTGTCATTGCCTCCTATCTAGAACTGAGAGGAAAAAGTGAGTGGCCTAAGGTTACCCAGCTATCTCAGGCGGAAATAGAACTCATGGTCTTCCAGTTTCTAGCTTTTATGCCTTAACCACTACACAAAACTATCTCTAACTGAGATCAATTAAGACTTGGACTAATACAATTAGTGATTACTGTTTTAATTAATTATTCGAAGAACATTATAGATTTTGCACTTTGCTTGTTGAGCAAACAAAACAAGGTTGTTCTTTTTTTTCAATAGAGCTACAATAGAGGAAGCCTATTCAAGGTCAATGACAAAGCTCGCCAAATCAGCAAGCAACTATTCACAGATTGGGTAAGTTGATGGAGTCTAATAGCAATGCAGTTTGATTCAGATTCTGTTTTAATATCAGAAATAATTGAAAAGCCAATTGAAAGCATTGGGGTGGCTTTTCTGCTTTTCTCAACATAATCCCATTAATATTTGTAATTTCAGTATTATATTATAATGATTGTCTGAAACCCTGGAAGAAACAGAATCTACAATTCTTGGGATTCTTGCTAGGAATACAATGCTAAGTTCCACAAAGAAAAAAAATTCCGACTCTATTCTTGAGGTTGAACTAAACCTCATGAACTTAACTGGTTCTTGCTTTCCTCAACTCTACTTGAAAACCTTTCAATATCAGTTCTACCATATCCATAACAGACTGTTGAATTTAACTCATATAACTATTGCAGGCTCTGTTCTATAAATGTAAAGACATTTGAAAATTATGTGAATGATACTTTTTTTTCAGTGTAATAAGATCAGAGTATTCATTTATATTGAATTGCTATGACAATTATACTTGACTCTTGAGAGCTTGATCCAGCTCTAACCTTATCCACATTTAGGTGGCTAACTATAAGCACAATATTTGCTTCTAGAATAATTAAATATGAATCTTTTTAAAAATACATGCTACACTGTCACGTTGCATAATATATTACCTTACTTTCATATGGTTTTGGTACTGAACTGTTGTCATTTTCACTTCTTAGGACATTTGCACCAGTCTGGGATGTTTTCAAATCATCAACTGAAAAACTAGCATGCTGTCATCTAGAACTTGTTCGAAAGCTGCAAGAATTAATAAAAGAAGTGCAGAAATATGGAGATGAACAAATAAAAGCTCACAAAAAGGTTTTTTATATATATATATATATACATTCCTAATTTTTCTTTAATTATTTTACATAAAATGAATTGGTAGAATGTAATACCTGTATGATATTTAACAGACTAAGGAAGAAGTTTCAGGGACTTTGGAAGCAGTTCAAAATTTTCAGAGTATTACCCAGGCACTGCAAAAAGCAAAAGAAAACTACAATTCAAAATGCGTGGAACAAGAACGTTTGAAAAAAGAAGGTGCAACACAGAGAGAAATAGACAAGGTAAATTTTTAAAGCCTTTCTTTTGTTCTTGCATTTTTTAGCCTAAAATTACAGATTTTTTTTTCTAGGCGAGACAATATTAGTGATAAATGTGACATGTTGTTTGCTTACTGGAATAGTTGTACATTAGCAAACATTTAAGCCAAAATGTTATCATTTTTGCTACTTTATTCCCTAAAAGGTAAATACACTGATGTAAACATTGTGTGGTATCCTGAAAATGTACACTATCGGTTCTGGTGACTGTATAAGTCAAATGTCTTAAAGTAGCTAGTATTCCATAATCTGAATCTTAAAACAAAAATTGTTCAGCTTTGATAAATTGTAGAAATGTTTATTTTATTTGGAGCCATTATTCATCTGAAATCCAAAAGAGAAACACAAGTTACTTTACCTTCAGCACTTATATTTTTCCTAAACTGTGGAATTGTTTCTGTTTGAGATTACTGATTTTTAATGGGAATTAAAAAATAAATAAATTGAACAATCATTTTCTCACACATGTTATAATAAAACTGTTATGTAGCCTGTTACGAGAAAAAAAGTTTTATATATTTTATTAAAACATTAGATGTTCTGTTAATTTTTATGAATTATGTATGATAAGAATTGATATTTACTCTGAGAGCAAATGAATACATGTAAGGAAAGGTAAAGGTTGCTTGAACTCAATTGTCAAATGTATTTTTCTTGGTGATAGTACAGAAACTGCTTGTCAAATGCCTTCTTCCAGAATGTTGTTTTGTTTTTACAAAAGACTGATCTATAATTCTGGGATCCCTATGAATTAGCAAGGACTCTCAACCAGTCCTGGCTAATTCTGCTCCCAAAACCAGCCAAAACTAAATTTGTAGTAAAATATCTTCTTCCTCTGATTTGTCTAGGCAACAGTAAAATCCAAGAAAGCTACTGAAATGTACAAATTATATGTAGAAAAATATGCTGCAGCAAAATCTGAGTTTGAACAAAAGATGAATATAACTTCCCAGGTAAGATTTATCTCCAATTTATTACACTGAAAGTTATCATGAAGCAGATTCACTGAACCAGAATGTCTGTTTCAAGCATATCTACATTTGAACCCTACCCAGAGGTGGGTTGCTCCTGGTTCGGCTGAATCTGTAGTGGCGGTGGCAGGAGACTCCACCCACCTCCCGGATGCTTCTGCACATGCACAGAAGGGTTGCACGCAAATATAAGCGAACCGGTAGTAAAATGGTTAGCAATCCACCACTGACCCTACCATTATATATAAAATAGCTAGAATCTTGGTTAATTTTTATTCCATTCTTACAGACAATTTTCCTCCCCTTTATTTTATAGCATTTTGCAAGGAGTCTAACAGAGGACAATACAAAATCCAGGTTGAATAAAAACTATTTGTAATTGGGTTTCAGAGGAAATTTTTGCACATAAATCCTAGCCCCAGGGACATTTTTAAATCTGAGCAAGTTGTCCTTTATACCAATTAATGTTTTTTTGAGAAGAATTGTTGAACATAAAACTTTTTCATTGACAAATTAAAATCTTTTTATATTACAGAAATTTCAAGATATTGAAGAAATGCATCTCTTCCATATGAAAGAGATTATAGAATGTTTTTCAAGTACAATAAATGAAATTCATTTGCAGATTGGAGAGGTGAGTCATTGATTGTATTTCATTAATCGTACTCTGAATTGAAAAGTCTTTCATATCTGAACTGCTATCCTATCAAGGTTTGTACTTAATATCTGTTTGAAATTATTTGGAAAGATTTAATGGGCTAACTGTAATGCAATTTTTATATATTCCATTATAATATAAATATTATATTTTTATCATACAATGTACAAATGTTTTCATATCTAGAATAAGAAGAAAAAAGTTTATATATGGAGCAAATATTTTATCAATAAATAATAGTAAAATGTGAATAATGCATTTTTCTCAAAGGCATAATTAAATTTTTATATTTCTGGTTGTTTGCAACACTAGTGATTGCCTCTTGATTATATTTAGAGAACATCTGAGACAGAAGCCAGCATGTGGTTCTTCCCTTTTGATCACTGGGAAATTTTCTACCTATAAGTTAAAATATGGCATAAAATAAACTTTCATCATACAATCATTCAAATATGGGAAATGAAGTTGCTGCCTCATATTAATTACAACACTGCAGGGGCAAATAAGCAAAAACATATTTAACCCATATCTAGTTAGCTAAATTAACCTTACTAAATACTTGGGCCAAAAATTACTTCTATCAAATACTATAGCATTTTTAGAATTCTTAGAAGATTTCCATGTCAAGAGAAAAGTTCCCAGTCATATAAAATATTCAAGAGTACTTACAAAAATTGAAAAATATAGACTTCCATAAAAGGAGAAATCAAAAAGGTTTATAAAGGTGAAAAGAGAAATAACTGGAAAAAAACTCCATTTGAATTAAGTTAAACAGCAAGGGTACAGAAAGAAATACAAAATGGAGGCCATCTCTCAAAGTTAGAAGAGAAAACAAAAGTTAATGATCAAAAGAATATATTAATAGAAAATAATATATTAAGAAAAAATGGAGAATGAAGTTGGCTGGCTCTGTCTTTCACAGGGGCTGCAAGAAACTGAAGTCAAAATACCTTAAATTCAGAATATTTGCATAGACCATTTCTCTGAATAAAACCTTCATATTTGATTACTATACCCTGTTAGCTTACCTGGGCTGCATTGAATGAAGAAGAATTGTCTTGGGCTGCATATAAATATACCAGCGACGTGTGGTGAGGTTTATGGCTGGTGAGGCAGTCTTCTCCCCCGACATCCCACTGTTTAAAACGCTTTCTTTCTTTTGCCCGCCTGAGTTCTGACAGGAGGGCGAAAGAAAGCGCCAGCTCGCTGCTGGCTTTCTTTTGTCTGCCGCTATGTCCGACATAGAGGCGGGCAAAAGAAAGCCAGCAGCCCACCTGAGCTGCCCGCCTCTGGGCAAAAGAAAGAAAGTGGCTTTTGCCTGCCCTGCCGCAATGTCCGACATAGCGGTGGGGCGGGCAAAGGAAGCCAGCAGCGGGCTGGCGCTTTCTTTTGCCCAGAGGCGGGCTGCAGCCTCTGGGCAAAAGAAAGAAAGTGGCTTTTGCCTGCCCTGCCGCAATGTCCGACATAGCGGTGGGGCGGGCAAAGGAAGCCAGCAGCGGGCTGGCGCTTTCTTTTGCCCAGAGGCGGGCTGCAGCCTCTGGGCAAAAGAAAGAAAGTGGCTTTTGCCTGCCCTGCCGCAATGTCCGACATAGCGGTGGGGCGGGCAAAGGAAGCCAGCAGCGGGCTGGCGCTTTCTTTTGCCCAGAGGCGGGCTGCAGCCTCTGGGCAAAAGAAAGAAAGTGGCTTTTGCCTGCCCTGCCGCAATGTCCGACATAGCGGTGGGGCGGGCAAAGGAAGCCAGCAGCGGGCTGGCGC